CAATATTTGCGATTCCATGTGACTCACCGGCTCGAAGTCTTTTAAAGGGAACTGTGCAACACAGTGGTTACAATGCATGTGAGCGTTGCGATGATTATGGGGTCCCAGTTCAGGGTCGGATAGTATATGATACAACAAATCCTAATTTAATTTCATCACGAACTGATAATGGGCTACGGACTGGTTAATATTCTGAAAGAAATAATGATAACAGGTGTCATCATCACAATATAACGCCCTTGTATGAAATACATAGTTTAGATCTTGTTAAACAATTTCCATTAGATTATATGCATCTGGTTTGTTAAGGTGCTGTGCGTCGTATTTTATATTATTTCAAAGGCTCATATCCACGTATATATTCAGGAAGATTATCTGCTGCAAACTTAATAAAAATTTCTAATAGTCTAAGTCAAATTAAAGGAAAGCTACCTTCAGAGTTTGTAAGACAGCCTCGTGAGTTGACTGAGGTTAATCGTTGGAAGGCAACTGAACTTAGAACATTTCTTTTATATACTGGTATTGTTGTTCTTAAGAATGTTTTAAATCCTAAAACATACAAGCATTTCTTAAGTTTAGTGCTTGCCATTCGTATGTTATGTGAAGAGAATATAAATTTGAGGCAGACTTATTTAAATTCAGCACGTGAATTAATTAACTATTTTGTAACCAATGCCCATGAACATTATGGTAATACCTTTACCGTTTACTGTATTCATAATCTGAAACATCTTCCTGATAATGTTGAATATTTTCAATTGCCTCTTGATGCTTATTCTTGTTTTCGATTTGAAAATTATTTGCGAACTATAAAGCGTCTAGTGCGCGGTAAAAGAAATCCATTAAAAGAAATTATAAAAAGACTTGATGAGTTGAATGGAACATTACAAGAAAACTCTACTCATATAACAAAACTTGATTGTGCTAAAAACTCTTGGTTTCTTAGCAAAAATTATGTCTGCTTTATAAAAGAAATTTTACCAAATGGTAGATTGGTTTACAATGCCTTTAAAAAGACTGAGCTAGATAATTTTTTCATAGATTTTATTGATTCTAATAAACTAAACATATTCGTCATAAAAAAAGATAAACATCCTTTAGAGAAAATAGATGATGTAGACATTGTATTAAGAAAATGTGTTTGTTTGATGCATGAAGATGATCGAGTTGTTATCCCTTTATTAAATAGTGCAAATTTTAAATGATAATAAAATTGTTTATTTGTGTTCATAGCTGATTTAATATCTCAGTTCCTAAGTTATAGTTTTCGGAGCTAATTTTCCAGCTCTAACAGTTTGTTAAATCACTAACCCCAAGTAAAAATACATAAATTTGGAGTGCGATGCTGTTTTGACATTTCATTATTGTTCTGAGCTGCATATTTTTATAAAACTAATTGTTTAAAAATTTTTTATATTGTTTTAAAATTGTGTTTTAAGCTGTGGTAGAAAACTAACATACTAATTCTAAAAAAAAATTTTAATAAATATTTTTCTTTAGACTTTACAGCACTGTTGTGATTATTGAAAAAAACCAACCAACCAAAACAGTAGTTCCAGCTCACTGGGTTGACTCGGATAGTTCTGTTGTTTATTTTCCCCCAAAAGGGTACATGGCAGTTGGTATGTATATTGCAGAATGGGCTGTACCAGAACCAGGATGGCAGGAATTTGAGTTTGTTGAGTACATATTAGATTCTGGAACATTAGAAACATGTAACCAGATGTTACATTTTCAAACTGAAGATGAGGCTGAAAATTTATGTAATCATTTTATAAATGTTTTCCAGAACATATAAATGTACATTTTTTTAAACATGAATTATTTGTTATTTAGCAATACAAAAAGTTAAAATGAATAAAAGAGCTGCAAGTCCAGTGATAGATTTCGCGTCCAGTCCTACATCCTCTTCTCAACGTTTTACACCTAGTGATATTTTGGAAACGCCTGCAACGTCTTCGAAATTAAATATTGCATCATTGTTCAAACAAGATCATTCTTGTAAAACCACAAATTTGTTTGAAAAGCCTTCAAAAGTGGGTGATGGCGGTTCCTCATTTAAAGAAATGTCAAATAAACGTAAGTTAAAGATTACCAATAAGTCTTTTTTTTTAGTTGTAATACATTCTTTTTATGTTACATATTTATTGCTCGTTTTAATACCCTGTTCATTCTGACAATAAAAGACTTACAATCTAAAATTGTGTACCTACTATTTTTTGTGTGCTTGTTTTATTACATTAAAAATAAAACACGTACCTTTAAAAACATATTCCATTATAACATTTTTGATTTAGTATATGAGAAAAGTTAAAGTTTTCAAAAATAATATGCAATAATTAAATGATTATTAGAATTTCAGTATGCAATTTTTAAAGAGTTGACAAATGAATTTACGCTGATCAAGCAAAATCAAAAAAAGATTATTGACGCTTAGATTTATTAGAAAGCAACTTTGTTAGTGTAATGGGAGTATCAAATGACACAATTGAAGCAGATGTAATTATGAAGCCTATTGACTCGTTGGAGAAGTTTGATGAACAGGAAAATACGTTAAACTCAAGTAAAGTAGCAAGGTTGCAGAAGGTATATTTTAATTTCCTTTTAATAGATCCTTAAATTACTGTTTTTTGTTTTTAAATAATTTTTGCTAAATAGCGTTTTCTTTAGGCACCTTTGTAACTTGTGTCATAATGGATAGTTTGTTTTTCTGGTTGTAATCTCAGGTTATCCTTACGTTAAGTAAGGTTATCCTGCTACTGGTGACATGTAATCAAGTGCAATTTGCTTCATGTTAATGTCAGGAAGGGCATCCGGTTAGAAAATATTGCTTCAACTCTTTCATAATGGCATTTAGATGTCATTATGAAGAACTATCCAAACCACACAAGTGTGGTAAATATTACACAAAAAAAAAAACTCTTTGAATCGGTTGAAGATACCATGTCTATTCAATTATTATGGAGGAATAAAATACATTTAAGATAAAGAACTTTTATATAATTGTTTATATTTTACTTTTGTGTATAGATTCGTCAGATTAGAAGTGTGGGTGGACCAACTCCGCGGAGAACTATTAAGAATGTGCTAGATTGTGTATTAGAGCGCAGAGTGCAAAATTGTTTCAGCAAAGATGGGTTGAAAGGAAAGCGGAAATTTCTAAGTACAGCACTTTATAAATGTTTAAAAAGTAAGTTTTTGTCCCATTTCACCCTTAATTTTTAAGCATTAATTAAAAATATTCTAAAAATGTTATTTATATATATTTATTTAAATATATATATATATATATATATATATATATATATATATATATATATATATATATATATATATATATATATATATATGTGTGTGTGTTGGTGTGTGTACATATGTATGTATATATATATATATATATATATATATATATATATATATATATATATATATATATATATATATATATATATATATATATATATATATATATATATATATATATATATATATATATATATATATATATATATATATATATGTGTGTGTGTGTGTGTGTACATATGTACACATATATCTTACACTGCTGAGTTAGGTGAGCATGATGATGTCATATTCACCTAGTGTCAAATAGCCTGCTGTTGGGGGCTTCAGTACATACATTGACTGACAAATAGCCTGACTCGCAGTGGAGTGCTGCTACATCGACTGAGGGTTTGGTATGGGTCAGCAACCTTTTCATTCATTATTTTTCGTTTTTCCTCATCGTTTTCTAAAAACGCTCACTTAAATTAGGCTAGCAAAAAAAGTGAGCAATTGCGCATATAAATATGCTATAGTAGATATGTGTGTACATATGTACATATATATATATATATACATATATATATATATATATATATATATATATATATATATATATATATATATATATATATATATATATATATATATATATATATATATATATATATATATATATATATATACATATGTACACACACACACACACACACACACACACACACACACACACACACACACACACACACACACACACATACATATATATATATATATACATACATACATACATACATACATTATTACAAATTTGATGTAATTTTTGTTTTAGTTGCACTTATATCTGACAAAGGTGGTTTTGAAGGGAGCGATATTGAAAGACTTGTTGGTGATTTGTTAAAACGGGCTGTACCAAAGTTGCAAAAAGAAGAAAGTTGTCACGATTCTTCATTAAGTATTGGAACAGAAGAAACTTAGTTTTTTTATTACTTATTGTAAAAGAAGCTTTAACAGTAAATGGAATTTATTTTTATTTTTTTGGCTAAATGTTTCCGTTTCTTTAAACCTCTCCCTAACTACTCATTTTTTCCGAAATACTTGTTTAGTAACTCGTTACTTAGTAACGGGTTATAAATAGTTAAACGGGTTACAAATAGTAACTTACTAAAGTAAAGGGTTAATATACTATGCATAAACTCAGTTTAAAATTACTATAAATAAATTATAGCAATTTTAAACCCAGAACAATACTGAAATGTCAAAATAGTATCTTTATTCATAGCAAGTTTATTCAATTTGTGATTGTTTAAATATTTATTATATTATATTATTCAATTATAAATATTATATTTTATTATATATATATATAAATATTATATATTATAAATATTAAATATTATATAATATTATATATTAAATATTATATATATATATAAATATAATATATTATATATTATTTATATATATATAAATATTATATATTATTGTATATATATATATATATATATAAATATTATATATTATTCAATTATAAATATTATATTATTCAATTATAAATTGTGTTTAGTAATCATTGACTTAAGAATTCGATGTTTGTATATAAATATATATATATATATATATATATATCTACTGCTTTTGTTTAGAGTATGCAGCTATTGTTATTAAACAACAATATAAATTATATTGTTTACAATATAATTTATATTGTAAACAATACAAATATTTTTTTTAGATATATTATACATATAATATATCTAAAAAAATCAACTAACACAAAAAAATAGTACCATTTTGTTGGGTCAACCCAGTTGGTCAAACAGTTGTGTTTCATATTTCCCTTAAAATGGTGTGAGATATAGTGTGTATATTTCAGTATGAGTTGTTATAAGACAATGATTGAAAGAAATTGACTTTGTTGAATATGCTGGATTCTGACACATTAGAAACTTGTAACCAGATTCTTCATTTTTTAACAAGATAAAGATTTGTAATATAATTATGTCAAATTTTTTGTAAATGTTTCCCAGATTATATTAATATACTTTCTCTGTAACATAATAATTTTGTCGTTTAGAAAAAAAAAATTATTTAAAACAGTCAGCAAGTGGTTAGTATAGTGGTTAATTTTAACTCCACACATTCTATGTCGTCTCAAAACTGATAAAGCAACTAGTTCTAAACTGGATAAGAAGCCTTAAAAAGTAGGTCCTTATTTAATAAAATGTTGAATAAACGTAAGTGCACTTTAAAGTTATCCTGCAAAAAGTATTTTTATTAGTTATTATATAATCTTTTTTAAATTTATGGCCTAATAAATTCATTCATACTGACAATAAAAGTATTTTTCTATTTCAACTCATATGCAATGCAGTATTGGTGTAGTGGGAAGAGCGCTCGCTTTGTAAGCGAGAGGTTTGGAGCTCAACTCCTACCACGTCCCTGAAAGTACCGCGATCAACTTAGTTTCTCCGCACAGCGGCTCAAGGCTCGTGTTTCGGAGTTAAAGAGTCGAGAAAGGTACCACGAAAGAAATATGTATATATATATATATATATATATATATATATATATATATATATATATATATATATATATATATATATATATATATATATATATATATATATATATACATTATTTAAGGTAATTTTGACTTTCCTTTTAGATGCAGTTATATATGACTAAGGTGGTTTGGAAGCGCGCAATATTGAAGGACTAGTTGGCGATCTGATGAAACGTGCAACCTCGAAATCGCCCGAAAAATTGCAACTATTTAACATGAGTATCGTACTATAAGAAAAATTTATATTGTAAAATTTATGCCTTTTTTGTAAAATATGATCTATCAATAAATTGAATTCTGTTTACTTGTATCTTCTTTTTTGTCAAAAACATTCTTTTTCCCTTATACAAATTATACTTATTTATTGCTAAAAAACGTGTCCCAGTGTCCATTGTAAGGGTTTTTAAGGGCGTTAACGTTTCTTTTTCTTTAATATGGACGTATTGTAAACGTCCGTAGACCTAAAATATTTATCTAATTTAAGTCTGAAACAGACGTCCATTAAGGTCCAAAATGGACGGACGAAACATGTTGCATTTAGACTTAGTTTAGACGTCTAAGGACGTCCAAAACAGACGTCCGTTCGTCCGAAACGGACGTCCAAAGTACGTCTAGTGGACGTCCAAATGTTTACTGGGTATATATATAGTTATAAAGTTTATTGTATTAAAGTTATAAATTTTATAAAAACTATGGTTTTTAAGTATCATGTGATCTTATTTGTTATTAAATTTATACTGCCATGGTTTTCGATAAAGACATTTTTATTCATAATAAATACCAAGACTAGTCACAACTCAATTTTTACCTGAACTCTTTGATTGACTTTTTTTACATTTTACTCAATTATATAAAAATTACTATTAAAATGTATTACATTTAAAATTTAACAGGTTTGAAATTGATTGGAATTATATTAAATAAAGTATCTAATTTTCTATATAAGGCTGTCACTAACTCATTTAAACACAGGTTTAGTTCCGCGAGTTCTCTCAACAGGCACCACGAGTAGTAATATGAATCAAATAGAGTGTGTATAATGAGCAAATTTGCGCGCTCAAACGCGTCGTATAAATTTTGTATTTAAAAACTGTATATATATATTAAATGTGATGTAATACGCATAAACATAAAGTTTCATCGTGAAAGCTTGTGTTTTATGTACTTCTTTATTTGAATTGTGACAAATTATGTTTAAAAAGTGTGAGCTATTGAATGTAAATAAATGAACAATGAGATACAAACTAGTGAAAAACATTTTACAAAGATTTATCTTTTAAAACATTTTGTTTACTTGTTTTATTTTTTTTATATTCAAAAACCACGAAAAAAAAAATAGTTAAATAAACTCAAAAGTATTTTGCATTCTCCAAAAGAATTCGAATTCAAAAATAATACTTCGCTATAAAATGCTACATACAAAGAAAAGTTTTTTGCTTATGTTTTATACAAAATACATTTAATTTTTTAAATTATTCTTTCGGGCCTATTTATCACCAAAATCTTTGATTAGCGTAGAAAAATCAAGATTTTTAGCAAGATCGTTTTCAATCGATAGGGTTCCTAAACTTGAAAGTATTGTTAGAAAAATTTGCATTGCAATCCATGTGTTTCGATACAAATCTTGCATTTTATGCTGTTTTATAAAATTTAAAACAATAGTAGGAGTAATTTTATCCTTGACCATTTCAAAAAGAAAAGGTTTAATGCTCATCAGTTCATCACAAAAGAGAATACTTTCTTGTACAAAATCTTCCCATAAATCATTTGATTCTTTTAAAATAACTTAGTCATTATCTACCTTGATATCCAATGAAGTTATACAATTATTTTTTAGTATTGTTGAAGGTTCTCCAACTTTATAGAACATAGTTGTAGAAATAGTTGAAGCATCAGAGTTGAAATCTTCACGACCTTCGTTATATTTTATAAGCAACATATTTTTCAATGCTCATGAATTTTTTTAATTTTTTCAAATTTTTGATCTTTTTCATATTTTCTTTTTCTGTACTCATACCCAGACAACTTTTTTCTCAAATTTGAAATATTATGTGACACAAGACATTATTTTTTATTCGTGCGGCGCACGACCTCGTCCTTCCCCCCCCCTCCTAAAAGCTGGCCCTGTGTATATATATATATATATATATATATAATATATATATATTATATATATATATATATATATATATATATATATATATATATATATACAGCATGCAAAAAAAATAATCGTACACTTGAAAAAAAATCGTAATTTTAAAGATTGCATCAAAAAAATTAGTTTTCTGTTAAAAATATTTTTATGAATTTATTTGTGTATTGGTGAGTTAATTGCTTTTTATACCTATTGCATTTTACACAATTGATCAAATGATGCATATAATTGATATTTTGTATTGACATACAAATTAGGTCGTTATTTTAATCCTACCGTCAGATCCAAAAAGAAACAGGAATTCTTTTTACGAATTTTCATGAAGTTTCCTCAATTGTTAAGAAGCATAATCTGATACTAGAGTGGTATCTGATACATATATATATATATTTTATATATATATATTATATATATATATATATATATAAATATTATATATATATATATATATATATATATATATATATATATATATATATATATATATATATATATATATATATATATATATATATATATATATATATATATATATATATATATATATATATATATATATATATATATATATATATATATATATATATATATATATATATATATATATATATATATATATATATATATATATATATATATATATATATATATATATATATATATATATATATATATATATATATATATATATATAAGACCAATGAAAAGATTTTGAAACACTCTCGTAACTTTAAGTAGTGCTCAGAACTGATGGCTTGTACGAAACCCAAACTTTTAGAAATTAGAAGTTTTGGTGTTTAGAATTAACTTATATCTCATATTTGAAATTATGTATAGTTTTAATATTATAATAGTACTCCATCGTATCATAATTAGACTTGAAAATCATTTCCTTTAATATTTACAGTCAATTGTAAGAAATTTATGTAAACATAATATTAGGAGATTCAATTTCGATAAAAAGTTATTATTTATTTACGCCTAAGACATTTAAAGAACGGTATATTATCAGCATTATTAATTTGTTTGTCTTAATAAAGTCAAATCTTTTCTCTGATTTTTATACTTTTTATTTACTTTATTTTAATAGTACTGTGGGGTAACTTGATACAAATTTCAAGTTTTACTATAAATAGCCTCACAAGTTCAAACTGTTATACTTTGATAACTAATTAATTTAATTTTGCAGTAGACAATATTTCGACTGATTTTTTTTCCCCATGAATTTTGAAAAGTTAGACGAGAAAATTTTGGTTAAAAAATTATGCAGAAAAATGTTTGATAAACATTTTTAATGATAGGGGTACTAACCAAGAAAGCACGCAATGTTTTAACCACGTTTTTTTCACGTACATTTTACGTGACCTCGTCCAGGTTACGTAAAATACACGTGTTTGAACAGTTTTACTTCTTGTGGTTGTCTCTGATTTGTCAAATATTCTAAAGTAACAAAATATTCTTTATCATTTTACACCATCAGATTGCATTCCACCTAGAATCTACGGAATGGTTAAAGCTCACAAACCAGAAAAAAACTACCCAATGCGTCCTGTTGTTTCCACTATTAACATACCACCTTATGGAACATCAGAGTATCTGGTTAAAATTATTCAACCAACATTAAATAAAAATACAACTCGACTAATTAATTCAAGTAGTTTTGTAAACAATGCTAAAGAATGGAAGATAGGCCCTAATGAAATTCAAGTTTCATTTGATGTAGTGAATTTATATCCATCTGTACCGATCGATGAAGCAATACCGGTTATTGTTAACATATTAAATGATAATTCGGAGGATTTAAAACTAATGCTAAATTAACTCTTTTAGATATACACCAGTATAACTGAACTATAATTGAATTTTCAGTAAGCAAATATTACTTTTTATACAAAGATAAAATCCGAACTTTACCTGATTCAGGTCCAATTGGTTTATCGTTGATGGTAGTCATAGCTGAAGCATTTTTGCAAAATATAGAAAAAAGAGCTCTTAATATAGCCTTTGTTAATTCATTCCAACCAATAACTTACAAAAGATATGTAGATGATACCCATGCTCTCTTTGGTTCGAGAGAAAAACGAGAACTATTTCTTAAAACTTTAAATGAACAAAACCCTTTCATAAAATATACTGTTGAACTTGAAAACGAAAAAAAAATAACTAAAATTTTTAGATATTTCTATTAAAAATACAATAAACGGATTTTGTGAATTTCAAGTACACCGTAAGGATGCGATAACCAATGTTCAAATAAAACCAAACTCTAACATCAACCCAAGCATTATCACTGGCGTCTTTAGAGGATTTCTATGTAGAACAAAACAAATCTGCTCTAAAAAACATCTCTCACAAGAAATTGATTTCCTCATAGATATATTCTTTTCAAAACGGTTATTACAAAAGTTATCTTATTAAAATAACCAAAAACTATTTAGATCGCGTTTTAAAAAATACTACATCTATACAATTGGATAAGCAATTTGTTAAACTACCTTTGATACCTATTATTGGCCTTAAACTCCGATGAGAATTTAGAAAACAAAACATCAGAGTTATATTTACTTCAGCCCCCAATTTAAATAACATACTATGCAATAACAAAACAAAACTACCTCCGAACTCAAATCCGGGTGTTTACAAGCTTCAATGCTCATGGAAGTATGTATATTGGTGAGACCAAAAATAAAATCACTTCAAGAAATGCGAAACACTAAAGAGCCTGTAAAAATCAAAAATGGTCGAGTTCAGGAGCCGCGGAACATTCTAGAACATGCCGTGGTACTTTTGATTGGCTGAATCCTAAGACCTTGGTAGTCATTCCAGAATACAAGATAAAAAAAGTTAGAGAATTCTTGAAGATAATTAAAGCAAAAGTTTGACACGAGATAGGTATTGGGCAAACTGTTCTAAATAGAGATGACGTGGATAATGTGAAAACAAAAACTTGGGGACCAATTTTAACAAAAATTTAACTGACATCACTTTTATATTATTTGATTGGTTTTTATATTTTACGCTTTTTAATGTCTTCTTTTTTAAACGCTTGGTTTTTTGTTATTTTGTAACACTGTGTATAACAAGACATGTTTTTAATATTACTTTTTTAATTACATAATTTTGCAAGCAAGTAATAATGATAATTT